TTATTAAAATCTTAAATGTTCGCCGGTTCCCGCCTCCTTCTTCCTGACCTACGAACGTTGTTACAGTCTGTAAGTAAGTTTTTTATATTTAAAGTATTTGCCACTGAGGATTCAAATGGTGTTTGACTCATCGCGCCGGGACACGGCATCACAGTATGGTAAGGGGCGTAACATTTCCGTCACACACTTGAGGTATTCGGCCAATCACAACGCACTGGATAGCTGGCCAATATAAACACATTGCATTACACCAAATACACAACATAATGTTCATTGTAACTCTTAAATCAAATATAGGTTTGATATATATTTAATCATTAATCATATATGACCCTAGACCACAAACCAGTCATAAGGGTTAATTTTTTGAAATTGAGATTTATACATCATCTGAAGCTGAATACATAAGCTTTCCATTGATGTATGGTTTGTTAGGATAGGACAATATTTGGCTGGCAACTATTTGAAAATCTGGAATCTGAGGGTGCTAAAAAATCTAAATATTGAGAAAATCGCCTTTAAAGTTGTCCAAATTAAGTTCTTAGTAATGCATATTACTAAACAAAAATTAAGTTTTGATATATTTATGGTAAGGCATTTACAAAATATCTTCATGGAACATAATCTTTACTTAATATCCTAATGATTATTGGCATAGAAGAAAAATCAATAATTTTGACCCATACAATATATTGTTAGCTGTTGCTACAAATATACCCGTGCTATTTACGATAATGATATTTGCCACTATATGATATTAGCCACTATATTTGTTTTGAAAACTATACGATTTTATAATGTTTTAGATTTTGATCTATTATTCACACAGAGCTGTCATATGGCTAGAGAAGACTTGGAATATACACTACCATTTAAAAGGTTGGGCTTGGTAAGATTTTTCAATATTTTTGAAGTGAATAATGCTCACCACTGTTGCATTTTTTTTTCATTACAATCAGTAAAAAGAGTAATTTCGTGAAATATTATTACAGCTTAATATGTTTTATATTTTAAAATGTAATTTATTCCTGTGATGCAAAGCAAAATTTTCAGCATCATTACTACAGTCTTAAGTGTCACATGATCCTTCAGAAATCTTTCTAATATGCTGATTTACTTCTCAAGAAACATTTCTTATTGTTATCAATTTTCGTGCTTCGGAATATTTTTGTGGAAACTGTGATTAATTATTTTTTTGCAGGATTCTTGCAAAAAGTTTTTCTTGAGAAAAGGTTTAAAATAACATGATTTATTGATTTTTGTTTTGTTAATGTCTTTAGTGTCACTATCAATTTTGATTGTGTCCTTTGGAGAATAAAAGTATTCATTTCTTTCTTTCTTTTTTTACTGTACTGTAGTGTATATGGGCTAGTTTTATGCTGCTTTTATAATTTGTCTTTTTTGAAGTTTAACATACATGATCACTACGAACTGTATGGAATTGTATGGAAAAGAGCTACATGAACATTCTTCAAAAATTCTCCCATTAATTTCCACCAAAGAAAAACAGCATATGGGTTTGGAATGACATAAGGGTAAGTAAATGATGACAGAATTTCAGTTTTGGCTGAACTATGCTTTAACATGTGAGAGGGAAAGGTCTTACCTTGCACTGATGAGGTACTGAGCCACGCTGATGTTGGCTGGGGAGCCTGTGATGGTGACGTGGCGCACTGCCGAACCGTCTGTGGCCCCGGCAATTTTGATCTGGGCACCAGACATCTGGCGAATCTCATTGATCTTACTGCCCTGTCTGCCAATGATGCAGCCTATGAGCTGAGAGACAGACGGGTGAGGGGCAAACAACATCTGGACATTAAAAGTCTAAGGAGGCTGAGAGTAAACCTCTAGGACATGTAAGTTGTTCTTCTCTACTGTATGGCATGCCTTGAATGTTACTAAATAGATTCTACAAGTGGGTGCTGAATAACAGATTACTTTAATACATCATCAGAGTAACATTGTGTCAGTGTAATGATAGCAAATCATTAAAAAAATCGTAAATTATTTAAGATACACCCAAAACTGTATGAATGTCATTGCAATACATACAAAATTTCAAGCCAATTGGCATGTATTTCAAAGTTAAGGCAAGCAAAAATATGGTTTCAAATTAAATATTCCAGTACATTAAAATTATTGGTTTAAAAACATTGTATAAAATTAAAATAAAATAAATGCAAGGCAAATAAAATTCTAAAATGATTGGAAAACAAAGTGAAATATAAACAAATGAATACATAATTGTTTGGTGTTGGATGATTTGGTCTTTGGAAGGATTCACATCTCAGACTTTTTTTATGTTACTATGAGTACAAGCAAGTAAACATTGCAGAAGTTTTTCTGCTGCACCTTTGGTTCTTCGTAAATAAAAAGTTGCCTCAAACTGAGAATCAGTATGCATCTTGTTTTCTGTCAGCTGTGCATGAGAATCAACAAGCTGCAGATATAATAAGCATATATGTTTCCCAAGACTATTATCCTTGTATAGATATAGATGCAGCATTCTTATTTTAGATGGAAATCCAAACTCTGGTAATAAAATGTAAAAATACACTACCTTTTTTTTTTTTGGGAAGAAAGAAAAAAATATTACTTGCATTCAGCAAGGATGCATTAAATTGACAAAAGTGACAGTATAGACTTCAGTGTTACAGTGTTAGAAAAAAAAATCTGTTTCAAATAAATGCACTTTTGAACTTACAGTTCATCAAGGAAAAAAATCACTTTTCAACACTGATAATAAGAAATGTTTCTTGAGCAGCATATCAGAATGATTTCTGAAGGATCACGTGATACTGAAAACTGGAGTAATGATGCTGAAATTGATCTTTGCATCACAGGAATAAATTACATTTTTAAATATATTAAAACAGTTATTTTAAATAGTAGTAATATTTCACAATATTACTGTTTTATTGTATTTCTGTATCAGATAAATGCAGCCTTGGTGAACATCATAAGATGCTTACAAAATCAAAAAAAATATTTTTGACACCATATTTTTGAACAATATTATGCATTTGAAAATATGGCATAATTTGTCATTCTTAGCTTATTAATAATTTTCACTTTTATTTGATCTAATGACATTCATATAGTTTAAGTGTGACTTACTTTTTGGGGACAGTGTACACAGCAATAACAGCATTTAATTTAACATTAACTGCAACAGACATTGTGTCTAATAAAAGTGAATTGTATTATTTTAAGTGAAATGTATTATGACATATAATATAACTTACATCATTAGGTATGCTCAGCTCATGAGAACTGGTTGCAATAGAGGCCTCCAGACCTATGCAGGGAAATGGGAAGTTAAGCAATACACAACTCATCAGCTGAAAAAAACTTTTTGACATCGCTACACTGCCACTGAGTGTGCTCAAATAAGTCGAAAAATATCACATTAAAATTACACAATGTACGAAAGCATTAAGGCTGCTATGCGGGTGAGTCATGAATGAATTCCTGTTTAATTCATGTCTGCCTGAGATTCAAAAACACCCATAAAAGCATTTCCAAATAGCGCACATTATCGGAAACGTCTGTGGAGAGGCTGTCGCTCTTCAACTCCCTATTTCCATGGTAATAATTATGGGCTGGCACTTGCAATGTGTGGACTCTGTTTGTCATGATAAATGTGGGCTGCTGTGAGAGTGGGCTTCAGGTTTTCTTAGCAGAGAGACAGACAAAGGGAGAGACAGACTTCCCTGGGGAGCTCTGGGTACGTACCAGGGAAGGTGGGGTTGCTCTGCCCAAGGGAGGTAAGGGGGATATGCTGCATAGCCAACTGGTGAAGCTTGGTCAACTGCGGGGGCAGGAAGGGAGGTTAGAACTAGCCAATCAAAATGGAATTATTTCAGAGGACACTCACATCTACAGACAGAACAGCACCCATATCAAGTCTCAAAGTTAGATTAGTTATCAGGTCCCCTTTTGGACTTACCGTCCACTTCAAGGTGATCAAAAAACTAGATTTGCATTTCCTTAAAGGGGAATTCGAGTGCTTGCGAGGCAGGAAAAATTCGTATTTAAGTTTGAGATGTGTTTTGGTTCTTAGTATGTGAAATGAATCATCCGATCTGCAGTTGGCATGACACACGTCGGGTTTCCTGCCTGATGTCTGTGAGAATTGACAGACGACGTGACACCGTCTTTGCAGTGCAGAGGCAGCGCTACATGTACAGCATGCAAATTGATGTAAGAAATAACACCAATCATAATTCCGTACAGTATGCAAACGTTGTGATTACACCATCACATTTGCTTATAATTTTAATGCTGAACCTTCTATCATTTATATATTTTATACCTGCAACTTTATTGTATATATTGCACTGACTTTAAAGGGATAGTTCACCCAAAAATGAAAATTCTCACCCTCATGTCATTTCAAACCCGTAAGACCTTTGTTCATTTTCAAAACACAAGTTAAGATATTTTTGATGAAATCTGAGAGCTTTCTGACCCTGCATAGACCGCAACGAAACTACCACGTTGAAGCCCTAGAAAGGCAGTAAGGACATCCTTAAAATAGTCCATGTGATATCAGTGTTCAATCTTAATTTTCTGAAGCTACGAGAATACTTATTGTGCACAAAGACACGTGGTAGTTGCGTTGTTGTCAGCAGTAGCCTTGTGGGCAGCGTGCCAACATATCACGCCTTTGCACTACTGTAACGAATCAGTCCACTGAAGGCGAGTGTAGTGAGAACCCAAGTGCAGTTTTATTTACAGTGATCCAAACATCCAAACATAATCCAAACAAGATACACAGACTTGACGAGGCATGAACAGATCTGACGAGGCACAAACAGACTAGACTCACCGACAGCGGGTTACAACTTCAAATACACGACAAGGGCACAATGGGAACATGATGGCTAGTTATAGCAGACAAGGAGGGGCACATGACATGAACAAACCAATGGGAAACAAGACACATGACTAAGACAACCACTCAGAACATGACACAATGAACAGAGGAACCAATAGCATGAAGACATGAGGGCAAGGGAAGCATGACACAAACAGCATGAAACAATTACAAAATAAAAGACATGAAAACATGAACATTAAACAAAACCCAAACACAAAACCCCACATTACATATCCCCCCCTCTAAGGGCGGCTCCAGACGCCCAAACAAATCCAAAAGAGATCAGATGTGCTAAAACATTAGTCACATTTAAATGCAGACTCAAAACTCATCTGTTTAGCTGTGCATTTATTGAATGAGCACTGTGCGATGTCCGAACTGATTGCACTATATCTTATGTATAATCGTTTTCTTAAATTCATTTTAAACCTCTTAAATCAATTTTTTAAATCATTTTCAAAGTTTTTAAATTCCTTGTTTTATTGTTGTGATTATTTTTTTCTTTTCTTTTATGTAAAGCACTTTGAATTACTATTGTGTATGAAATGTGCTATATAAATAAACTTGCCTTGCCTTGCCTTGCCTACACTGGCCTATCATAATAAAGTTAAAAATGCCAAAAATAAAAGCTCTCGGATTTCTCAAAAATATCTTAATTTGTGTTCCAAAGATGAGCAAAGGTCTTACGGGTTTGGAACGACAAGAGGGTGAGTAATTAATGACAGGTTTTTCATTTTTGGGTGAACTAACCCTTTAAATCTCACAAGTGCAACTTTATCACAATGTGGTTATATCTGACTTTATATATCACAATTGCGACTTTGTTTTTCATACCTACGGCTTCACTGTATATCTCGCATTGACTTTAAATCTTGCAATTGCAACATTACTGTATATGTCACAATGTGACTATGTGGCTGTGATTTGGCCACAGGCACGAGGCTGAATCAGAAATTGGCTTCCACAGAATGGAGTCTGTATGGTGAATGGTTTAACAGAGATTGCCTGTATGGTGAACTGGAATTCATTTTAGAAGTTTACTACATAGGAGTTGAAAAAACTTAACCCTAATGTTTAAGGTTCTGTCAATACAGTGCTGCCTTGCAACCTTTGTAATTATAGCATTCACGTTTGAATGATTCTGTTAACTAATTGTGTTTACTTGTGTCTTAACCAGGGATATGAAATAACCAAGGACTAACAAGTGTTAGTGATGCTAAATATTAAAGAAGCGATCATAGGCAGAGACCACATTGGGGATATCGGCACTTAGGTGTGTGTGTGTGTGTGTGTGTGTGTGTGTGTGTGTGTGTGTGTGTGTGTGTGTGTGGTAAAAGGTGGGATGTGGCTGGAGTACTGCAGTGGTGTTGTGAAGTGTGCTGTGAATGATACTGATCAGCCAGTATGACTAACACTCACGTCTTGGGGTGGAATGGCAAACTGTCCTGGAATAGTAAATGCCTGTGGAACAGATAACATGTTTAGGTTAGAACAAATAACAAGCGCTTATTTGCAGCTTGGTCATTAGATGACATGGCACGCCCATGGACCACCCACAGTCCATTCTATGCATATTTCATTAAAACCTAGAAAGCTTTTATGAAAATCGCAAGCTCAAAACAGTTGGCTTAAATGCAATGCAAATTGTAACATTTGGGGTTAGCAGGATTTTATCAAATAAAATAGCATTTAAAACAAGTTGATAATATTACAAGTTGATAATATTAACACGTTTGAGGATTTGCCAAGTTAGTGGCTTCAAATCTTGTTAGCAATACTTAGTAGTATGTAGTTATCCACAAGCAAAACTATTTTGCTGTGTGAAGTAATCAATAATTTGCTCATCCACTTTCCTTTATTAAGGGAAATTTCTGTGCCATATTTCAAATTTGTTTTTTTTAGATGAGTCAGTAGTTGTTATGATTAATTTCATACAAAATTCGCCCCTAAAGAACACGTAAAACAAACAGCGTTTGGCCGCTTTGTTCATGTTAAAGCGGGTGGCTCTCAACCAGAATAAGCTGCAAAGTGGACCAGACTTTACACCACAAATCAAAGTCTGTCTACTTGAGACTACTTTGTCAATAACATGTTGTTATAATTCCAGTGCCAGGTTTCCACCTTATGACTGAAATATGTCAAGCTCTTCTTAATATAACCACGAGGGGGCATCACATGAACATCCCATGCTATCATCAAACATGGCAAAAAAATAAATAAAAAATACAGAACTAAACTACTTCTTAGCATTTTAATCCTCCAGAGAGCTTGTAGCTGACATGATTTTTCATTATACAGACAACTAGCCTTTGCATTTCTCACCTTAGTCAAACTAAATGTCATGATCACTCAAATGAGCAACAGAAGCCCTTTGGACAGCATACCAAGAGGAGATATCAAAATTAAAGGGTCAAAGCTTTGATTACATGCCCTTACGAGTATGTATTTCATAAGATCAGAACAATAGAATAGAATGGAATACTGATGAATGAATTGTTTAGTCCAGCTATATATAGCTGTATTTATGATTAGTTACAAGCTTTCCAATTCAAACACCTACAGATCTAAATTAGTGATTCAAAGCAAGTCTGATCTGCATGTTTAAGAGCACTTGGCATGGTCCAATTGCCCAATTGGTGACTGTATTACTGATTGGATCTGGGGGGGGGGGGTGGAATCGTTAATGCTCATGAAGGGCTGTTTCGATTGTATGGTTCGGTTTCTACATTAAGAGATAGATGGAGAACTCACCGACGCAGCATGGGGTTGCGCCAACACTGTGTGGCTGCCACCCGCCGTGGGTTTGGGTCGGTACGGAATGGTGGCTCCTTTAGGTGGTGACTAAATGAGGGAGACAAGCACAGTCAGGACAAAAGCGAAGGCGTTTAGGCAGTATGTGTCTAGAACTCTGTTAAGCCTCACTGGATTTTACTGTTCAAAGCCCAGTGTTAATGCGGGCCAGGGAAAATCCTGCAAAACAAAGGCATCCAAGGTTGGATGCTGGGAACTAATGAAGCAAACAGGAACATTTAACATGTAGTCCATGCGCTGAAAGTGAATGCAAATGAAGTATGAAGGTGAAAAAGACTTGAAAAATATTCCCCACTTGAAATAACATTTAAGCACAAGCGAAATCGTGCATAATCATACGTTTTTTAATTAAAAAGCATACGCGCTCTCACTTGCACGCTCACGAACCTCCAGCATGACGGTGCAGATGTGATTCACGCATTGTGTGATGGCACGAGGGGTGCCTGAGATGGTCACGGCTCTCTCAGTCGAGTCAGGCAGTAGGTCTCCTGCCACCTGGACCTGGGCACCTGTGCTCTGTCATACAGCAATGCTTTTAGTCAACACACGCTGGACAGGCTGATTAGAAAAGCCACAGATGACATTCATATTTCTTTCAGTAGTGACATTTAAAAGGATAAGGTCACTTCACATCCGCATTCCTGATCACCCTGTCTGCCTGGGTTTATTTTGCAATAATGAGCGAATGATGGTACATTATACTGCTTATTACACAGCTACTCACCAGTTAAATGAATGTGCAGACATGAATTATTGATTTTAATTAGAATTATTACCTGCACTCTTAAAATCAAGGGTTCCAAAATGGAGTTTTTGCAGTGATGCCATATTGACCAATCACATTCACTTGTTCCAGAGAGCTGTGCAATAATTTCTTTAATGATAGCTTACCTAATGATCGTAGGTAAGTATCATTTTAAATGCCAGTGTCTATATTACGCATATTAACTGCAATACAACCACTAATTATCAATTAACATTTTTCATAAAGTTTGAAAAGTTTCCTATCTGAGCACTGAGGAGATAGTAAGATTACAAATTCTGATTTCTTTCCAAGCGACTAGCAAAAAGTGTGCCACGCTGTCCCTTTTGTATTACAGCTATTCTCATGCTGACATTGTTATCGTCTGGCTAGTTATTTAGGTCAAGCTATTTGGATACTGTATATAAATATTAGTCTATTTAGGCCTTGGTGGGCCGTCCTGTCCTAGACATTCACAGCAACTGGGAATAAAAGCAGCCAGTTCACCCCTCACAGCCCTCAGCGGCGAGGACAGCTATATTTATTCAATGTGATCCACCAGCCGAATAAAAAACAAAGCCTTCAAGCAAAAGTCACTGTCCTCATGTCAATTTCAGCAGCTAAATGACAACGAATGGTTCCGCTTTTGAGATGAATCGCTTTGTTTTCCATCAACGAAAGCCATGAATAGATAAGTTAGAGGAAAAGTGAGCGAGTTCAAGAGTTTAGGAAATTACAGCTCAGGGCTGTCTCATAACGTGTGGATTTAGTGGAAGCCTGAGTCGATCGGGCCCCTGTGCTCAGGAATAAAAAGTTCTGTCTTGATGAGGACAATCAATCATGCTGATGTTAAGTGTTTTTGCTGCCACTGAGACAACGGAAACTAATTGTTTAACGGATCATTCCGTGCATCATCTGGGAGCCGCTGTGACCTGCATTACAAACCCTGTGCATTTCCCAACAATTAAACTTCCACCTAGAATATCTACCTCTCTGATCTCTTTGATCTTCGAGCCTCCTTTGCCAATGAGTGAACCACACTGACTGGCGGGGAAGACAGGGCCGCTGATCTCTTTGATCTTCGAGCCTCCTTTGCCAATGAGTGAACCACACTGACTGGCGGGGAAGACGAGGCGCAGTGTCACAGGAGGCCTGCTTGTCACGGTGCTGTTGATCATGGATGCCAGGATATCCTGAAAGAGATGCATATGCATCAGAAAGAAGCTCAATTCAGCTCGTGTCAAGTCAGTGTCATTTTTTCATAAAAACAAGTTTATAAGGGAGAAAAACTTGCAGGAATACAAGTTGACAGTTTTTTTAAATGAAATAAAATACTGACTAGGTAATGCTGTGTTATATAAAATTTAAAAAAAAATTATAATA